AACACGTCGCTTTAAAAATAGGTAGCCGATTCAGCTGACTACAAAAACATGACTGCACTAACAACGCTGGTACGCTCTGCTACTCGTTTATAATAAGTTGACACTAGCTAATCACTTACTGAATGCACAGAGGAAGCGCAATTTGGGTTCAATTCTCATTATGACGAAGTTTTTATAGACCAGATATAGCTATGCTAGTCTTTTTTTCCACTTGGATACTGCTGTTACTGACACACGGTGTCTGTTTTTTTTTTTTTTTTTTCATAGAAAGAAACAAAATTTCAATCCGTTAAATACTTTGTCTTAATATCGCTAACGTGAACCTCCTGCTTTAATCTGTGCCAGTGATGCTGGAAGTTATGACCGTAATTCATCAGCTCTCAACATGCTATCGGCAGATCCCAAAAATTCTGTCCTATTTTGAAACAATCAAGTTAGCCTAGGCTTAAAACTGAGATCATATTGATGCACATGCAGATACACTTAAGTAGACGCACACAAGTAAGCACAAGCACACACAAAAATAACAAATACGCAAACAGACAGAAATGATCGCGGTATGATACAAAAATATATAAATTTCAGTGAAACTTCGGAAGTTTTAAAAAAAATTTTGTCCATTGCTTCATCCTTTTTTTACAAAACCGTATTTTTGATTACGTTTAGAACTGTATCACTGTCAGCATATCGATTGTGGTCGGTCGTTTCCTAATCAAAGAGGCCTCCATCGTCACAGAGAAACACACAGCGACATTTGTTCAGTGAAATGCGAATGGCCAGAATGCACGAGAATGTTTCAAGACGAAGTTGGAATGATGAACCACTTGCGAAGTCATTCAACAAAAATCTCCCGTCATTCCAGTTCCACGGCCAGTACTATCGGATACAGAAATACTGTAAATGGTTTGTCACTAAACATTTTTACGTGAGTGCAAACAGAAATCAACGAATTATCAGCAGGAGCAAGTACACTCCTTTTAACCCATTTTTGCTGTGTAGCGCTAGAGCGCTGCACAACAAAATTGCGTAAAAAAGCATATTGTGACGGCCTGTGCGTGCATGTGTATGTACGTATTGAGTGTGTGTGTATGTGTTCGTCTCTCCAAGTGTATCTACTAGGCAAGCCAAGATGCTAATTGCCACTATATTCCTTAGCCAAATACAACCCAGCAACATGATATCAATTTTCACTCACATCTGCAAATCTCGTAAGGACATATCAAAATTCTGGCGGAAAGATTGCTACGTCGGAAACGAGAAAAACTAGAAGGCTGGAATTTTCAGAGGATGCCTCTTACACACCTAGAAGATTTCAAATTCAGCTCCTCAGCGCGTGCATGTCTCACGCAAAGACGCGTAAAATGTTTGACTTTCAACTTAATAAAGCAGGAACCAGAAAACAGGAAAGCTGTAATTTTGAGGAGACATCTCCTGTTCCCTTCTCACGCAAGATTATTTCAAACTCAGCTCCCACGTGTGCATGGTTCTCACATACAGGCGCGTGAAATTTTTTGCAGGAAAATTCGTAACCAGGAACTAGAAAAGCTGGGAGGCCGAAATTTTAAGTGGATGTTCCTCTTTCATTTACAACTTAATGATTTCAAATTCAGTTCCCAAGCATGCGCAGTTCCGCATGCGGGTGCATAAAAATTTTGGTAAGAAAAGAAAACTGCATACATGCAATCACAAAAACGCATATTGGTAAGAAGCTGTCTGTGTGTGCGTCACTTTTTGTCACCCACTTTCAACTTAAGAACCAGAAAAGCCAAAGACTTTGGGAATACGTGCCTACAGCGTGCGTGACCCAGCCGTTTTAATATCATTACTCGTGTACGCCTGGGCACGGCGTATAGACGTCTTAAAAAATATACAAATTTTTTAGCGGGAAAGCAGTTTCGCGCACCAGAACGGATATAGAATTGAAACTTCGCAAGGATATTCTTTTTGCTTATGTGAGCAAAAGATTTCAAATTCAGCCCTTAAGTGTGTGTGTGTGTGGTTCTCATTTACGATTAAGTGGAAGTTTTGGCGGAAAAATTACTATTTCGGGAAGCAAAAGAGCTAGAAAGATGAAATTTTCACTTAAACACTTCGAACTCAACCTGCAGGTGTGCGTGGTTCTCACGCAGGGCCACTTAAAAGTTTTGGGGGGAAATTGCTCACTGAAGAGCTAGGTCGTTTTCAAAGAACGACCATTAAACAGAAATTTTTTATTTCCTTTATGCGGTAGATGCAAAAGGTAGGTCTAAAGCAACAAACATTCAAACAGTTAACGACTTGAGTACTTCAGTTCTGGTGCAAAAACGCATTATTGCATTGATAAGCCTGGTGCATCCCACCCTCGGTTGCGTATATACAGATGCAGCCCATGCTGGAAAGCACCAGGCTCTCCGGTGCTATCATACGTTTCTGCATTAAACTCGTAAATCGCTACTAGCAGGAATGATACCTACGCTGTAGCCTAACACTTGGGCTGATATTGGCCGTGCTTTGATCATTTCTAGCATACGGAAGGAAGGGCATCAGTTGCGATGAAGGTGGTGCATTATAGAGCCGCACGGACATCCAGGTGTATGATTACCGGTTTCTGCATGAAGTCCGGTGATTTTTCGGTAAATGCTCGCTTTGTGAAAAAATGACAAATGCAAATTTTTGAAAAAATGCAAATTTCCGGTTTACTAAAAAGTGGAAGTATTGCTCGAGCGGTCGTTTGTCAAAAAATGCACATTCATTTACATGTACGATTGCAGTCAAGGTCCGAGCTGCGAACGAATTTTTTGAAATATGCAAATTTTCAGTTCACTAAAAAATTGAAAGTATTGCTCAAACGGTCATTTTTCAAAAAATACATGCCCATTTGCATATACGATTGCGGTTCAGGTCCGAGTTGGTAACGATTTTTGGGTTCAGGAGCTGTTTAAGACTGTGGTTGGGGAGCTAGAGAGCTGAGTTTAAAATTTTTATCTCGCACGTGCATAGAGAA